GGAGCCAATGGTGAGGACCAGCCAGAGGGGGAGATGGTTGGCTGCGACGCCGGAGAGGAAGCCGAAAAGCTTGCCGGCGTCAGAGGCGAATGCGAGGTTGTTGAGTTGCAACTGGGAGATGGAAAGCTGCTGCTTGAGTTGAGAGGAGTAGGAGGGGAAGTTGAAGTTGGTGCCATTGATGGACTGAAGCCAGATGATGGCCACAAGGCTGAGCCATTGGAGAGCTCTGGAAGGCATTGGCCACTGCAGAGACTGCGCTTCCTCTGCTCTGCCAACAGAGCCAAAACAGGGGAATTTAATTTTTTTGGGTTTCTGTTGGAGAAATGAATCAAATTGAAGATGTTGGTATTAATGTTAATGAGAAGGGGAATCTATGTGGCTGTGGGGATTAAAATGTGGTGCATTAGAGGCCACCACATGCTGGAACATTAATTGGGAGTGGGATTTGTGTTCGATTACGGAAGATGAGAATGGAGAGAATTGAGAATAAATCAGGAGTATGAGATCAGAAGGCCCAGCACATGGAATTGTGAGGCTGTGTGAAAGTGGAGCCTTAATTACTCTAAAGAAACACACACAAACCTGGAACACAACGCAACGCAACGCATCTAAAACTTCAGATATTTAATCATTTAGTTTTATTTATATTTTTAACACTACAAATCATTTAGTTAACAGTTTTTTTTTTATAACAGAATTAGGTAGAAGAAGAAAGTTGACATCATGGTCACTGGGCGAGGAGTAGATTACTAGCGTTTTTTCCAGTACAATATGTGGGGCGATGATCGAACTTGCAACATCTTACTTGGAGATATATGTCAATTATCGCTGAATAAATGATCCGCTAATTTCAATTAGGATTCCGTTAGGCCCTCTAGGGACGGCTCCTCAAATTGTGAATTTTTATTCATTTTATCGATTAATAACTCAAAATCCGATCTCACCAACTAAATATTTGCAACTTGACAATTTAAAAGAGACCTTTCAAGTACTAAAATATAAACATGGGAATTTTAATTGCAATCCATGCAATTACATCATTTTCAATCCATTTAATTTGAATTGGCATTTTCTACATCATAATATTATCATAGTTATTGTGAAAAAACACCTACAAGAATTACGCTTTGGCGTAGATTACTAGCGTTTAAACAGCCGAGCGAAAAATTATGGATTATCTTTACTGATTTCCATTTCAAAAGTTTTATTTTATTGTTATTAATTTTTTTGTGCTATTTTATTGTTATTTTTACTGTAAGTAACATATTTTCTACCATATTTATGGATATTTGATGTTTTTAAAAGATGATTCATGATCTAGACTTTATTCTATATTAAAATATTGAGTACTTCTCTTAACAGACACTTCAATTCAAATAGTCATGTCTTGAAAAAATTTGAAGGACAAAATGAATACGTATTAAAAAGTTGAGTGTAAAAATGGAAGGCCACATTTATCCGTTCCAACCTTCAACTTTAGGATATACTATTTTTATTTTTTAATGAGATCTTTATTGTCAATAAATTATAATTGTTTCATGACTTAATTTAATAAATTGAAAACTTATCGATACACCATTAAATGACCTATTTTGTAAAAACTTACCCATCAAATCAGTTACTGTTTAGAAAAAATTACATAATATATACATATATTTTGTTGTTGGTGGCATCAACTCTGCAAGTAACGCGTCCTCTCTACTAGCCATCGTTATGCCAACTAAGCGAAATCAAAAGGATCTTAATCAGTAACTAAATTTACACTTGTTTATAAAATTACAATTCTTAATATAATTAATTAAATTTGAGTTCAATTTAGATTGAGCTATTTTTTTATAAAATTTCAAACTTTTTACTCAAGTTTATACCATTTATGTAAATATTTCTTAATTGTCTCTATCCTTATAATTTAGGGTGGTGTGTGCACCTTTTAAACGTCATTAGTGAAGTTATAAAGATAGTGTTTAAGTGCAATAATTGTTTAACCAAGCTAAGCATCCAGTTGAATGAATCTAATAAGCCAAGCACCAAGCAAGTCACAATTACCTCCATATAATATATATATATATATATATATATATATATATATATATATATATAGGAGACAGAAAATAGTAAGCTTATAATCATACTAAAACTGTACCAAGTTTTGCCCTGAATTATACGTTGATCCTCCATCACAACCTTCAATCTTCGTCCAAACTGAAGCACCAACTATAATTGAAATTAAAGGAAGAAGAACCAAGGAGCAAACCATATTGAGTGTTTATCAAAGGCCTATTTCAGGCTATAGATTGACTTCTTCTCCTGCATGCATTACCAGAAATTTTGAAGAAAATAGCTTTGTACCAATAATTCGTAATAAATATTATTCAAAACAATTTCTTCACATAAAATTTACATTAAGCATAGACGCATAACCAACATAGTGGGTTATAAATTTAATACAAGTTCAACTATTGACAAAATTAGTGACAAAAGCTTCTATTTGTAAGATAATAATTTGGATCCGACTGGTTCAAGCATTCACATTTCACAAACACCGCCACCAGCCTGATTAAGCCATTCAAAGCTCTTACAGACAACTTCACAGTACTATGAAATCTTTTCGTTTCTCGACTCATTTTTTCTCACATTAAACTGCATGATTATTGCCATCAAGTATAGAAATTGAGGAGCGAAAAAAATGCCTTGCATCTTGACTGCACAGATAGCAGGTGAAAATCTATATTTGTTCATGGACCAAAAAGAAACTCACCATTGTCCAATATTACAATGCTGAAGGCATTAGAACATAATCTGATCTTTCTTACTTTTGACAATATCAACCTAATCTTGCTTCTCTTGTTAATACCTGAAGAAAAGAGAGCATACAATCATTTGGGAGAAAATTGCTAAGGGAACTTGAAATGCATGATATTCAGTCAAGCTGCAAGATAAGTGAAATATACTAGAGCATTCTTGCAGAAGAGATGGGGAAATTTGTTTGCTCTTTTGGAATTGATGTCTGTCATACCATCTTAAAGTTGTTTATAAGATGGTATGAAAGATATCTCAAATTTTATTAGTGCCCAAGACCAAACCTTTTGTCAAGATACTATTCTCTTGTTTTGTTCCCTTAAATTAATAGACATCAATTTCTCAATGAGGCAAAAATACTTTTTTGCCCCTAGGTTTCAAAATGTTCCATTATACCCCTGAGTTTTGAGTTTATTTTTCATTTGATACCTAGGTTTCAAAATGTTACACGTTCACTACTAAGTTTTGAGTTTAGTTTTCATTTGGTCCTTAAGTTGCAAAATGTTACATTTTCACCTCTGAGTTTTCGTCAAGGCTCACTTTTGGTCCCTTACATAACTGAACTGTTCAACCCTACTAGAATGTTGACTAGGATGTTGATGTATGTATTTAATATTAATTTATGTTATTTATATGCTTACATGGTAAAAGTATTTATTATTATAATTTTTCAATAGGTGATGTGCCAGAGAAAATAAAAAAGCCTCTTCCCCGCCCTATTCTCTCTCTCTTCTACTCGACCGTCCTCACCCCTACCCCTAAGAAGCACGAACACATGCAAAAGACAAACAGAACACGCGAACATGATAACACACCAATTTCTAAATGTAGGACACAGACGTTTTTTTTAACTCATAGAATATGTGTATGTATTGACATAGTAATACTTCTAAATAAATTAACCATAAAACTAAAAAACAAAAACAAAACCTAGTTGGCGATTGTGGCGGACGATGGTGGTGGCAGAAGCGGGGAAGGGCTTCTCTTTTTCGTGGGATTTGTGGGAGGCTAGGGCTTCTATTTTGTTTCTAGTTTTTTTTAAGTTATTGGCTTTTATTATGGGCCATCAATTTAGTTTTTAGGGCTGGGTCAAGTGTGTCCCCTGCGGGTCTTGGATGTGTCCAAAATTTTTAAAAATAATAATAAAAAGACACGTACATTGGCATGTTGGACACATGTTTGGAGCGTGTCCAACACAGACACTCCGCCTAAAATGAAGTGAGTGTGCTTCCTGGCCTACCTCTATCTTCCTGCTTCCCCTACCCTCACCATTGACCACCACCTGTCAGCCACCAACCGCGCCCTCTCTCTTCTCCTCCTTTTCCTACCCAACACCACCACTCTTTCTTCTCGACACAACTAGCAATGTTGGTGTTGTGGGGCCTCACAGATTGTTAACCTAATTAAAGAGCTCTAATTTTGAAGGAACAAAAAGGCAGTCAACAATCGCCAGAAAGAACAATTGGAAACGGCTCTATGCTTCTTCATTGCCGGGAAAGGGTGGCAGGCAACCAACGGCGGGTGGTTGGTAGAGCAAGGGTAGAGAAGAGGGAAGATGGGTTGGGGTGGGGGTGAGGTCAGTCAGGAGACGAGAAAGAGCGAATGAGGTGGAGGAGAGAGATTCTTTATTTTTTATTCTGCCGCATCACCTATTGAATATTATAAAAATAAATGCTTTTACCATGTAAGCATGTAAATAACATAAATTAATATTAAATAGACAACTAGCACTATGTTATAGGGTTACCCAGGATTATGTTATATTAGGAACCAAAAGTCGACATTGGTGAAAACTAAGTGTGTTTTTTTTTTTTTGGAGAACTGGGAGTCGGAGCTTTGCTTTTCTACACCCGGGGGCACCCACACCGGCTCCAAGGCCCGGACTTTGGAGACATCTAGGGTTTTTGGTATTAAGCTCGCCAGAAGATTCAAACTTGAGGCCTCTAAGCCAGTATAACCAAGAGACCCAGCACCCTTTTGAAATCTAGGGACCAAATGAAAACTAAACTCAAAACTCTAGATTAAAAATATAACATTTTGAAACCTAAGAACCAAAGGAAAACCAAATTAAAAACTTTAAAAGTGTACCATTTTGAAACCTAGGGACCAAAACGGAAATTTCCCTTTTTGTTAATACCATTCGCTATTTCCTTCCTAAATCAACCTCCCCTTTGTAATTTTTCTCCTTCAGTTAAATGTTCTTGGTTTCTTGTAATGGAGTCATTAGTTAACATGACCATCTGTTTTTTATTCATAGTGCATATCTTCCCAAATTACTTTTCAATTTCATTCAAGTGGAAAAACAAAAATATTAAACATTAAGGCCAAGTTTTTAAAAACTACCTTTTTTTTTATTTTTTAGTTATTAAATTTTGACTTAGATTTTGAAAATATTTTTAAAACTACCTAACATATAAGCTCCGTTACGAGCTAAATTTTAAAAAATATAAAACTAAAAATGAAATTGTATCCAATGAAAATATTAAAGAGCAGATATATCACCCCCATTCAGCCCAAATGAGAGTTTCACAAAAAAAAAAAAATAAAAAATAAAAAATAAAAACTCCAAGAAGCATTACACAGAAAAGAATAGTCACCTCTTCTGCAAATTTAATCAAGATAGTCGTCCGTGGTCGTTGTTGCCCCTCCACTGGAACAAAATGTGCCGTTACAACAGCTGGAAACCCAGCACTGTCTAAAACACCCTTCAAGCAAAATGGAACACATTTCAGGATTTCAAAAAGACCAAATTACCATCCATTTCAAAGGGAGGATGGGTTGTTAAAAGGTTGTAGCGGGCTAGCAGCTCTTACTCTTACTATGCCAGCAACAAAAGCTCCGCAGTTAAATGCTCCCATGTCTTTCGGAATTGAAATAAATCTAGGATCAATGATTGGATTATTGAGCGAATGCAAAACAGCCTGAGAATATGACACAAGATCACAAGTTATATGACCGGGAAAATAGCTACCTATTGACGAGAAGCTCCTTTTCACTGATCATGTACTCATCTTCATGCTCAGTGCCTTTCTCAAGTGAGTCAGCAACCTGACAAAACGCAAGCGGAGCTCAGTAAATTTTTTATACTTACAAGATTGTTAAAGATTCTGCCAAATAGTTTTTTAGGCCAAGAGGGAGGGGGATTTTTGTGAGAATGTAAGAGTTCATTTGATAACATTTTAACATTCAGGTTTATATTTTTAAAAATTATGCTTATTCACGGGCCTTTTCCTTTGTTTTCTAATCTACTCTCAAAAACAATTTTAAAATCATAACCAAATTTTGAAAATTAAGAAAGTGGCCTCAATTTGAGAGTTAGATTTAAAAACAGTTCTCTTATGGTTTTAAATCTAAATGATAACATCACTAAACAAATAAAAAATTAATGCAGAAAACTAATTTGGCAGAATAATATTAAAAAAAACATTTTTCACAACATAAAACAGTTTTTAAAGATTAATTTGCAAAACAAATACTTTCAGTAAATACACCCAAACTTGGTAGAATCACTTCAAATGTTCCAGCCAACAATCATGCATGAGAATCAGACAATTACACCAATATCATTATCAATAGAAACAATAAAATAAGAGTAAAGTGCAGAAACCACCCTAAACTTTTAATTATAAAATTAAATTCTTGAACTAGAATAATCTTAAAAATTGACTCCAGTAAAATTTATTAATAATTCTGTGCAAGAAAATTTTAAAAGAAAAGCAATTAGATTTTTTTTTTAAATTAAAGAAATTAAAATCAAGGGATCAAAATCTCAATCTTGAGCAAGAGTAGGCTTCAACATAAGAGTTTAAGGTCTGAAAGGCAAGGAGTTAATGCTGTACGAAAACATGCCCAATGGAAGCCTCAACCGTCGGATATTCAACAGACACATAAAGCTACTCGATTGGAACCGAATCGCCATGTGCTCACCGACACTGCAGGAGGGCTCCAAGCCTCCAACAATCTCCACTGTGGCTGGGACCTGGTAGTAATCTACCGAGACATAAAGTCGAACAATCAGGTGTTAGATTCAGATGTGCATAGTAGAGTAGGCAACTTTTGTCTCGCTGAACAGTACCTACCAACACAGCGAGACTCTGAATACCACTCGTGTCCTCGGAACTCCGAGTTACCTGGCCTTGGAGATCGGGGTATTGGTAGCTACTCCAATGGCTGCTTGCAATGTGTAAACTTAATTTGTGATTGTCACCATCTTCCTTTTACAGAATTAGAAACAAATCTAACGCAAGGGCCAATTTTTAAAATCATGTAAGTTCAAGAGTTTAAAGTTGCCATTATAATATACTATGTGGTTTCTGCAATTTCCCCTAAAATAAAATCAATTTAGAAAGCAAATGCAAGCATTCACCTTTCCAAACAAAACCTTCCACACTGTGCTGTGTACAAATGACAGAATGCCTAATAATCGTGTCTCCCTTCTGTTTCCCTGTTAAAAAATAGAAAAGAACGAAAAAGTATATAAATGGAAATCTACCATCCAAAAACAAAAACAAAAAAATACTACGCTTTAATGTTCCAGACTTTAACCGCCAGGTATAAGGGTGGTAGATATGCAAGGTTGGTTTAAAGTGTCTCGACTCTTCATTTAGATTCAAGATAATTTTATGCTCTCAAGATAATTTTATGCTCTAACAATCATTAACCATTCATGACGATGTTGTTTTTAGAGACTTTGTTTGATAACCATCACTTTTGGTTTTCTTTTTCTAAAAATTCCTCATAATTTCTTCGTTATATTATCACATTTATTAAAATCACATACTCTGGGCTAAATTTTAAAAATAAGAACAAGTTTTCAAAAAGTACCTTTATTTTTTTCAAAATTTGGCATAAATTTTGAAAACATTTTTAGAAGTAGATAACTGTTTGGATGTATTTTTTATAGTTTTCGAAAATTTTACACACTAATTTTTTTAATTGTTTTCCGTTGTTTTAATTTAAAAAATTGTTGGGGAAAGATATTTTTGTTATCAAGTTATTTATTTATTTATTCTGCATAGTAACATAAAACCATTACACATTTAAATGAAGTTATAAAAAAGAAACAATTTCCAATTATAAATGAACAGTTAATTGAGAAAACATCTGAAATCACAGAACAGTATTTCTTTTTTCGAGTACATTTTGTTCTGAGAATTATTTTCAAAAGGCCTTCTGCAAATAAGTTATCTATACACCAAAGAGAACTCTTTTTTATTTTAAAAATAGAAATCCATTTTTAACCCAATTCCGAAATAGCCCTAATTTTCATAGGAATTCCAAACTTTTTTAAACAATTGCAGTTAAAACCAAAACTAAAAGCTTGAGACATAAAACAAACTTGAACAGAAAAACTATAATGATGGTTAAGTTTAAGAAGGTGAAAGGCTCAATTTGCTCTAATATTAGATTCCATACCTTCTCTCGGTGACAAAAGAGTTCCAACACTCGGGCACCAACTGCATAGCCTGCATCCTCCAACCTGCTTCGTTTTAGCTAAAAGCCATCAAGCTTTGAGATAAATAATTATAATGTGCAAGGAGAAAGTAGAAAGTAACAACGAGATATAGCATTGTTTTTTTCATTCCTTGACAGCATAGTTGCCATTATTATTATCAGTTATATATATACATATATGAATGTATATATGAATGGTATAGATGTCATCATTATTATTATCAGTATAACTAGAAGTCTTCAGAATCCTTTCACCTACCTTGGATTGTCTCTAGTAATCAATTCTTCTCTGCTGCATTCTTGAGATATCGTGGTAGTGCGATGCAAAAAGGCTTGCTAAATGTAGGAGCTTCCTCATTTCCAAAGGGTAAAACTAAGGGCATGTTTGAAAAAAGGCTTTCTAGATGGAGGGACTTCCCAGTTCCCAAATGGGTAACTAAAGCCGTGTTCGGGAATGATTTTCAGGCGTGGCTCAACAAAAATATCAAATTTCAAGAAGACCCATGGATTTCCCCTCAGCCGCTGTATGTCTTTTCCTTCCCTTTATGTTACTGCTAACTCTAAACTTTTGAGTTTCATGACAGTGAACAATTGCAGGAGAGGCCTGGAACTTGCTTTTGAGAAGGGATCTTTTTGATAGAGAGTTAGATGTGGGAAGTCCTTTCATCAATTCTCCAATCCACTTCCTTCATCAATTCTCCAATCCACTTCCCCAACCACTGACGATAGAATTATATGGACTCTAGAGGTTTCAGGTTGCTTATTGATCAGTTCAGCAAAAAAAGTTCACCAGTCGGGCAGAATCTACTTGGATACAGCTCTTAACAAGTTAATTTGAAAAGGTCATAGCCCCAAGAAGACCAAGTTCTTTCTCTGGACATCAGCATTGAATGGCCTTAATAACCCCAACGAAGTCTAAAGAAGGAAGCTAGGAACCCAAAGCTTTATCTCTCTCCCCAAATCTGCCCTATGTTCTTCGGCGACTTGGAGACCTCCAATCACCTTTTTATTCACTGTAGTTTTGCCTCACAGCGATTGGGAAATATCCCTGCTCGTCAAAAGCTTACAAAAAAGACTCCCAAAAGATTTGAGTCACGCCATAATTACAAAAATCTTTGGACTTTAGTAATAGAAGACTACGAGGACACAAATAACTAGCTCCCAAAAGACAGCTCTATCTGAATTTTCTTCATGGAATATCCTTTTTTTCCTTCAAACCACAATCTCCAAAGCAACCCAGCAACCCCATTGGACTAAAAGATTCTCACTTGGCCTTTAAAACTCGTCCCAACTATAAGCTAGACAAAAGCCTTTGACACTCTGTTGGGGAGGCACCAATTGATGTTGAAGATTTTGAACAACTCCTCCCAACAAGCAGATGCAAAGATTCATGTGAAAAGAGGAGCGTAAAGTTTTCTCCACTCTATCTACAAAGAACACACCAATTGGGGGGAAGTCATCGTGGTAAACATCTTCTGAAGTCTGCAGCAAGTATTAGGGCTCTCATGAGCAAAAACCCACAAGAAAACCTTCTTATTGTTTTTAGAAGAACCAATTTCATTGATGATATGAAATTAGATTACAAAAGGGAGAGAACTCATGAAAGGGGTTACAAAAAAGCTCTCGAATTGGATAACAATGAAGCAGAACTATAGCGTTGAAAGAAAGGTGAGAATTTAGACCAAGAAATTACCAAAAGAACTATAGACTCGAAAATATGGTGAGGTGAGCATTCCTTATCTTGAAAGATCCTCTGATATCTCTCCAACTAAAGGATCCAAAGCAAAGCACGAACAAAATGCAGCCATAGATAATTTTTATCCTTTGTAAAGGGATGTCAAGTGAAGGTAGATGCTGGAAGAAGGTGCATATCCGAAGGAAGAGCTATCAACCATCCAAAAAGAGAGAGGATTTTGTTCCATACGCTGGAAGAGAAGTTAAAAGTAACAAATACATGCCCAATGGATTCACTGTGTTGTTTGCACAAGATGCACCAATTAGGGGAGAGGTTCATATAAGGCATCCGAGGATCTTTCAAATTGGAGTCCTTGTTCAAAAATCTTTTAGTAACATTCCTGACTATTTATTCAACTTAGATTCGAGGTCTTGTATTCAAATCCTCGCTTATGGTGTAGATTCATCTTGTCCTTGCGGTCTCTAGGTAGTTGTTTTAGTTTCACTTTTAATATTTATACCTATTTATTATTAAGGAAAAAAAAAGTACCAGTAGGAAAAGAATCCAAAAATAATATGCAAACTAATGCATTAGAAATTCCAAATCTTGAACGTTAGCAATTATTCATGTATGAAATATTAATCAAGCCTCATGTGCAGATTTAATTTTTTGACCCTCCACTCCACCAAAGGAAACAAAAAACATAAATATGAATTCTTGCTAGTGAAAATACAACGGGTTGACAAGGAAGATCACCTCCGTTCTAACTCGGCAATATTGTCAACCTGAGTCTGATTGTACTGCACAAGTTCGGAGAACAAGAATGCAAACGCACTCAAACTCACCTACAAATAAACAATTTAATCGCATCAATAAGCATTGGTCCATCACAAACATACTGTAGCTCAAATTCACTGCAAAGTATCAAAAGATTGTTGATAAGGAGTCTACAGAAATAATAAGCCAAACTCGAAGATTTCAGCTCTGGAGAAAAAGAAAATTAATTTTAAAAAACAAAAAGTCCAGGTCATTGCAAACTTACAGGCGCAGCAAATTACAGTGTATAGTATAGGTAGAGAATTGGAGGGATCTTAGGTTTTAACTTTGTTAGACATACTGAGCGATTAAAGAGACAAATGCAGATAGATATCATGTAAGTGCAATTCAATTGATCCGAGAAGATAGTACAGAAACTTCTGTTTACTCCCTAACTGCAAAATACTAGAAAAACTGAAGAGAATGGGGACAACCTCTTGTTTGCCCTTGCTGAGAGGTTTGTCGAGGACATTAGAGTACTGCTTCATCTTCCCAACTCCAATCATGATTCCCTGTTTCCCGAGGGAAGGATTCTTCGAAATCCCTGGTGGCAAATTGTCAACAGAAAAAAGTTAAAAAACCTCGAATTCTGTGCTCTGTCCCTCCGGATCTCAACCATTCTTCAACCTTTTTCCATCACTCTGTTTTATAATAGATCAACGCTTTGAGAGAGAAGGAGAGAGAGAACTCCCTGGGGAGTGTAAATCTTGAAGAGGCAGAGAGTACCTCCGAGTGTAGACAAGTACCTCGAGGCGAAGACGACGGAGAGTGACGGCAGGCGAACGGCGAACCACGACGGAGGGCAGCGGCGGGCGAGAGGCAAGAGAGTAAGAGAAGATCGTGAGATTGAGAAGGAGAAGGAGGAGGACGGCGAACCACGACCGACGGCGGACGAGGAAGTGAGAGATGTGAGAAGGAGACCGTGAGAGAAGCGAGAGGTGAGATTGAGGAAGCTTCCGTGAGGCGTGAGAGCGATGCTGAGAGGTGAGATCTGAGTCCTGAGATGAGAAGACGGTTCGCTTTGATAGTCAAATCGAATCGAACCGAACCCAATTTGAAGAGTTTTTTTTATAGAATCCTCCTAGTTAAGCTTGGCGAATAAAAAATATGTACCAAATCGAAGTATGTGCACAAATCGGACCGAATCAAACTACAAACCGAATATTTATAAAATAAGAAAAAATACTGGCAGGAAAATGGAGGAGGACAGGAGAGGGAATAGGAAAATTTCTGGTAATACTAACCTCTTCTGATTACATATTGATACATCATTAAATAATATATTGTATTATTTGATAGTATCATCACCCACGTTATTCTGGAATATTGCTTTAATGACTAGCAATGAATGGAATAGCATAGGATTTTTTTCATACAACCGTAGTATCTGAATTTTTTTCGACAATAAGATTTAGGAAGACGTGTTTAATATAATATAGATATACACACTGGTAGATTCGATTTTGAGTTTGATTTTTTAACCAAAAATCACGTTATTTAGTGTATCAATTATAACATATTGAAATGAACTTAATCACAATACCGATTAAATCGATTTTTTGCTTTAATTTGGTTCGGTTTTTTTAGTTTTATTGGTTTGGTTGTGAACTCTAATGAGAGACACTATATAGTTTACAAACATGGACCCTATAACTAAAACATAACATGTATATTTGTAAAATCAGTTTAATTCTAGTTGAATTGAGTTTTTCTTAAACCTATGAATTGAATCGCATTGGTTGGATGTTAAAATCATAATCGAAACTTAATCGAGCACTTATATTCAATCCAATTTTTACCGTTTGTATTAAGTTGTTCAAGTTTTTCGAATTACTAGATTTATGAAATATACGAAGAATAAGGATTTTCACAAATCTCACACGACAAATTTAAGAAGCGGGTAAGAAATAAAACAAGAAGATAGAGGATAAGCAATCTCGTTTACAAATCTCATAGACATGGTCCGCAAATAGTAATCATAAAACATTTTTTGTCCTTTAAACTCAATTACAAATGAGGGCTTCAAAATTTCAAACTGAGACTCAAAATATTAAGGTATTAAGTAAGCGGTCAATTGATTTCAATAGTAAACTAGTCAGTATGCAAAATCGACTAATCAATCAGTCGAAATATCGAAAAAATAAAATTTCAACCAACCAATCGATATGTTGATTATATTATAAAATAAAATAAGTTCCGGAATATTGCACTACCTATTCAAATTCTACCAAACTACTGAAGAGTGTGTTTGAGAGTAATCTTATCAGGGTCAAGATCACCTTCATTTTCATTCATCATACTTGCCAAATTAATACATAGTTTGTAGCTTAAAATCACTCTAAATTAATTTTTAAAGTATCACTTTGATGATGATTTTAAAATCATTTATTCTTAATTTTTTTTCAAAATCATCTATTCTTCATCACTCACAAACACACCCTAAAATAAAAAAAATTTAACATTCTACTCCCACACCATTTTTCTTTCTTAACCATTGTTTTACTAGTTTCTCTCATTTTCCACTTCCACCCTCGTGTCCCTCTCTTATCTCATCTCCCGTTGCATGTCTATTTCAAATATCGTCAAAGGTTCCACACTATCTTTGTCAGTTTTGATTGGCTGTCAGTGTATTCGATCGATCGACTTTAGAAAGGCTTCCAAAACTGATAACATCTAACCCATAATAATCGATAGAATACTTATCACCCATACCAACAAGGGACGAGAGACGTAGATATTACAAAGAATCCTCATATATATATATATATATTTTAATATGAAAAACTTCCTAGGGAATTTTTTTCCAAAATACAGAAAAAGAATCCTCATAAATTTTGTGACCAACTTTGAAGTCCAACAAAGTTCATGAACCCCAAAAGGTACCCCGCGACTTTTCTTCGGTTTGCAGATTTTATGCACAATCGAACCGAATCGATTGGTTAATTTTAAATTGTAAATATCAAACCACCCCCAACCCCACCCATTTGTGATGACTAATCAGGGTTTCTCGCCTATTCCAGCGGGGCAAGCGACATCAATCATCACTCTCTCTTCCTTTTCGATTTTTTCTTTTCAAAGCCAAAGCAATCCCTCACTACTCCCTCCTGTTCCTTGCCGCACGCCCCAGCGCCCGCAACCTTACCGACCACCGCTCGGCTCGCCTCTGTATCGCCGCCGCAGCCTCGCTTAGGCGTCTCTGCGATCTGTTCCGCCACCCCGTCGCACGCTGCACGCCGGTGGAATCCCCAACGCAAGAAGCCTCAGCGCTGTTGACATGGCTGAGAAGGACGAGGGAAAGCTGACTAATCCGACCGATAAAAGCCGAATCGGAGCGGACGAACTCGGTTCCTAATGTTCGCTTCGTTGCGGTCCAACCGAACCGACTGGGAACTGAAATTGTGTACTTGGTGGTCTCAAGACTTGCATGTCCCTGAGCATAAATCATTGTCTTCGATCGCCTCTCCTCTCGTATGGCTACCATCGGCGAGAGCTCTTCGTCTGTTCCCAAACTCGCTGACGGAAAGCCAGTGTTGGTTAGGGTTAAGCGCAAAGCTTCCCAATCTCGACTCGATGCACTATGTGAGTTGGGACACTCTTTCATGATCCTTTCTTTCGATTTTTTATTGTTTATGAACCATCAAACGAAGTTTGAATTGTTCGTGCCCGCGTTGACGTTTTGGTATGTTTGGATAATTTGTGTGCCGTAGGGCTGGAGATCAATGAGAGGCCACTCAAGCGACCTCTGCTGGATTTTGAGAACTTATCTATCTCAGAAACATTCCAGAATGGTCCGTCCAGCTCTGTACCTGTACTTGCGTTTTTTTTTTTCTGTTCCTGTCACTTGGTAATCTGCATAGGTTAAAAGAGGAAACATCAATTAGCAGCTATAGGTTTCTTCCAGACAAATATCCGAAAATTAGCTTCCCTAGTTTATACTATAGTATTTGAAGGGGGGGTGATTAAAAAAAAAACTAAATTCTTTGTTATATGGATTTTTTTTGTAGGAGAATCGTGTTAACCCTTTATAAGGAAAGTAATGGATGGATTGTATTGTTGTTATTGTTTCTTCCTTTTTGTGGAGGAGGGAAGATATGGGTTTCTTCACTTTATGGTTCTTGCCAGTTGATTAAATATCAATTTGAGATATCAACCTCGATTAAGCTTCTAAGATTTACTATAATTCACGATTACATAGCAAATTAAGTGTGATTTCACTCCCTGCCCCTGATGGAATAGCTTTTACTTGCATCAGAGGAACTTAAGACTAAGAAGATATTTGTACAGCACGTGGAGACATTGAAAAGCTCTGAGGCCACTGTTGACATTGTACAGTCCTTTGTGGTTAGTATCTTGGTCAGTTTAAGTCTTCTTTTTGACATTTTAACTAGCATCTTTGTCGGTAACTGTCTTATCTTTAGGCACCTGATGCTGCTGGCACCGTTGAGAATAGCGTAAAGAATGAGGAGCGTAGAAGAAATTTTAAGAGAGAGATTGTATGTCTTGTCTACTCGTTTGTTTGGTCCATTAGTTTGTGTGCTACTTATTTAATAGTTTGCTTACCTTGTCTAGTATTCTGCAGCCAAGACAAGATCAGCTGTTGAGTAAAGCTAGACAAGAACAAGAGGTATGGACCGTATGGTATATGATGACATTCCTTTAATGCTTTTTAAACGATAAATTCAATCATTGTTTTATCCGAAGAGTTTTGGTCATATTAGATTATAATGTGTTTATAGTTTGTTTAAACTGTTTTCATATGTTGTACTGTTACTTTTTGTTGGTAACATTCTTTCTTTGTGCTACTGCTTTCTCTTTCTATCAGGTTTTAGCAAAAAATGCTCGATTTGAGCAGATATGGAGAAGTAGGAAAGGGGTTAAAGATGCAAAAGATGACCAATTACATGACATGTATCATATCTATGATATTGTTCGTCTTGATACAAACAAAATATCAAGTGAAGTACCGGAGCAGGAGTGAGTTCTGTCACGATGATACTATTGGATCTTGATTTTCTATAAACTCCTCATTTATGTGGACAAACGTGCTCTTGCTATTAATGCAGGTATATGTCCCTGGAGGATCAGAGTATGTTATCGAGTTACCTGCCTTTACTAAGGGAGTTTATCCCAAGTGCTGCTGCAGAAATTGAGTCAGATATACATGCAAACATGATGAAACAAGATGGTTGGTTTTTTTTAATCTAGCAGTCACTTGAGGCATTTTGCTTACGGATGTAGTGGTAAATAAATAATGGAAGTAAGGTTCTAGGCAATTCAGCAGTAGATGTGTGTTGGATGAGGATAATTATCGTCCATCTTTTATTGGTTGTTCCAGCTATTGTCTCCAGTCCTTGCTATGCCTAAGTTCCTTCCTAGTTCACCCTTTTGTTAATATTATTTGCATGCTTGTATGACTGTTTTCGTTACTCGTTTATGTAACTTCTTACTGTTATTTCGGTGTCTTCACTTGTTCTACAGTGCCTGTAGATGATTATGTATATGACTACTACACTGTGAAGAGTGACATGGAGATTGCTGAAGACGATGCCTCTAATCCATTTCCTTTGTGCGTCATTGTCTCTCTCTGTTTTCATTTCGTTTGTTTCCTCTCTGTGTTCCCTTTTTGCAATAAATTCACATCTTTTTCCAGGATACAAGTTGATGATTTGGATCTATATGATGGGCCTGATGACTCAGATTACGAAAGCGATGATTCAAATGGTAAATATCTTTTTCCTTGATCCTTGTAGTTTAGAAACCAAAGTTACATCTGATTCTTTTTTGCAAATATCTTTTTCGGTTTCAGCTGAAAACAATCCACACTTTGATTACCCTGATGAGGTATCGGAAGAAGACGACGAGTTGGGGAGTGAATCTTCAAATGGTGAATCAAAAGATAATGATGATGACAGCGAGAAGAAGCAGTCGTCGGAAGCTAATGACTCAGAAGAGGATGACCTGTCAGTGGACAGAGCCCAATTATACGAGGATGAAATATATGGTGATTTTGATGATGATGATGCTAATAGTTTCGATTGTGACAGTAATGGTGGTCATGATGAGGGTGAGGATTCGAGATGGTCCTATCGTTGAATTGAATGTTTGTTCCACCGCATTCCCTATCAGCTCAGCTAGTACTATTTTTTCCAGTGAGATGAGATGCTTACTTGTGAGGAAGGCGTTTGTAGGTAGTAATGATAGGGATTTGCCATTTGAGAAGTTTGCTATCTGATCTTCATGAGTAGATATTGAAAGCCAGCCTATGAGGTCATGGTTATATAAAATGGAATGAGTTCCATTCTGATGACCTCTGGAAGGGTGATTTAAAGAACTTCTCAGAATTCCTAAGGGGTGGTTGTTTATGCAATTTTGATTCTATTTCTAGATATCTGTTTGGCAAATTTTTTTCGAATTTTTTTTTTGAAATCTGTGATTTAAAAAGTAGACATTTTTGTATTTTTAGGTTTTGAATTTGGAGTAGAATTACACTAAAAAAATGTATTATAAATTATTTAAATATTGTAAAATAATAATTCTATAAAATTTATAATATATATTTATTAAATTAATTAAACATATTTAATAACTACCACTAATTACTAATAATTTTTTAAATTGAAATTTTTAAATCTACTATCAACAATACAATTATTTACTGATTATTCTACTTTGAAGTATTTAACAATTAACCCAAAAATCTAATAACATATTTTTAACTTCTTTCAAATTTAAAAATGACAATAAGGATAACATGTTTTTCGTAGTTCAATCCATAGGTTTGATGGGGACAATTATTTTTCAAATAATTTTTTATTTATATTTCTGAAATTAGTTTAAGAACTATAATTGAGTAACTCGAAAATGTGGGGGAGCTTGCAGGGTTCCATGTGGCAGTGGGCACCAGCCTCGCAGCAAATGAAGGACCAACAAAGGAAGTGACGCCTCCAACGGGATCCTTGAGACAGGCAATAAGGATTATACCACGCACCAATAATGTCCCTAACAGCCCACGAATGCGATTTTTTCTTAAATAATGCCTTATTTTAAATTTATTCCAAATATATATTCACTCCAAACTATTTCAAAAAATAATGTTTGAAAAATTATAGATCAACCAAAAACGATCTATGCTACCTCACCATTTTTGAGTTGCATGAAATTATGGTACGTGGTCTCTTCAAGAGACGACATATGCCAAAAGTATCCAAAGTTATCACTAAGATATAGTGGTGACACACAAAAAATGATATAATGGAGCTTGAACCCAATACCTCTATATTAAAAATTAAATACGCCACCACTGAAAGTAGTAATTTAATGTACTTTTGGCATATGTTCTCTCTTGACGTCATAACTAAAAAAACAAAAAACACATGGTGCAATGCAATTCGGAAATTGTGAATTGACAATAAATTTAAAATAAAGCATTATTAAAAAGAAAAAGAAAATCCCCCATCGAGGCTTGTACAAGGGTGAGGCCTACCACGTTCCCACGCCTGGTGACTTCAAGAGCTGATTTCATCACTTATAAAAATGATTCTCCCCATAAAAAAGTAAGTGAGAAATCTGTAACTAAACCCATACTATTGATTTCCATTTTCCCCTTTATTCGAGTTGCTAACTTGATCGTGATAGGATATTTGACAGGACACCATACCTGTGTCGAGATATATATCATAGATGATCTTATCTTACCGCCATATTGCAAGACACATCTGAACAAGTGTTATTATATTTACAAAAAAATTATTACTTTGAAAGAAAAATATTAACTCTGAGTATCCTAAGAGAAAATCATTAAAAACTGCAAGAAAGTATACATAAAAAAAAAGTTATTTAAATTATGGTTATTAAACTTTTATCTTTAAGAATATAGAAAAGTGTCTTAAAAACGCTTTCAAAATGGTGTTTTAGCTTTAGACAAAGCACAAAGCAAGATACTGTTCCGCGGCTTCCTTTTGTTTCGGCCATCGTAATAACAATTAAACTATATTCCGAAATTCTTTGACCTCCCTCCCTCGTCCCTCCTCTTTTCTTCATTCTGTCGCAATCTGCAAATCTGATTGGTCATGGCTAATTCTTCTTCAGCTCCGGCTACTTGCTCTGCTGCTCTGCCGATTCCGGTTGATCTCTTCCTATCCAATAAACATCCCGACTACTTAACTAATTCCTCCGGCGATATCATTTTTAGACTCAGTCGTCAATCTTCGAAATCGCCGTCAATTGACAAGATACTACTGCTTGACGCCGCCGCCGCCGCCGATCCTCTCATTTCAATACACCGCCATAGCGTGAGTATTCAATCTACTTGTGTTCGTCATCTCCTTCCTTAGTTTCAACTTCCAGTGCCATACTTTGTTTTGTAAACTGCGGTGAGTTAGTTTTTCCTTTCTCTGTGTCAATGCTCGCAAGTTCCTTATCATCTGAAGAGGGAGTTGGAGGCCTCCGATTTTCGGAGGCTGGATATTATTCGATTAGTTTTTCTTCTTTCTTGCACCTTCATGGATCCGATCCATTGAATCAATACGAAATCCTTGGAGAATTCCAGCTCGTATCCATGAAAGAATTAGAGAAGTTTCCTGATTTCTTTCTCTCTTTAAAGGGTGGGAAATGTCTGCCCTTGTAGTTATTTAAATGTTTTTGGTGTTCGTAGCTGTTACAGGTACAGAATGCTTGTGATTCTAGGATTGTGATTGCTGGGACTTGTAAATTTACTTTCTTTTGGTCATAAGCATTCCAAATGAACCGTCTCCCTAAACTTTTATGGCTTCCAACATACATTAATATTACTCCTGAAATAGTTACAAATTAGCTTTTTGCTAGAAATTGTAAGAAGGCAGTTCATTCTTCATGAGATGTATCTTTTAGAAATATGATGATAGGAACTCAATCTTGCAATGTAAATCGACAAAAAATAACATTGAAAGTGCATTACAATATAAAAGGAAATCACAATCCGAACCTCAAGAACTTCAAGAGGCCAAAACTCCCCCAAAATTACTCTTCCACATTTTGCCTATCCCTCATCTCCCTAACTCCCTCTACTTATAACTACTTCACCCCTAAGTAATTACCATTATGCCACTATCAATATGGATAATACTCATAGTATTCCATACTAATACTCCTGACAAATTATCAAGTGATACTTGCGCTAGACTTCCTTTTTGCTGTTTTTCTGAAATAATGTGAACAGGTTTGCATTGATCTCAGAAAGAATCTTGGCATGGCTTCAAGGGGGATGTTGGTGAGGAGAACCTGCTCTTCAAAGTGCATAGATCAATCAACAAACTCACAAGAACTGAGTTCAAAGTCTTCCTTCACGGTGAAAATTTGGATGACTCGAATGCTAGCTTGGAGATGAAAGGTTGGCCTTTCCAGAGATCCTGTACTATATATAAAGGCAATACTATAGTGGCCCAGGTACAGTATAGTAATACCATATGCAAGAATGTTTTTGCAAGGCTGTTCATTTCTTCCCTAAGTTTGTTGTCTGTTAAGTGGAACATGAACATGACAGTTCTAACTTGATGCTTGCTATAGCATAATTACCTTAGCAGCCAAACAGTTTTCATTGTGAAGATGAGAGGGGTAATCCCCCCAGCTCTCAAGTCTTAATTCATAGATCATTCCAATTTTGATTTCATATTAAACTTAGTGTTACTTGTTCACCCATGCACATCAAATTAGCTTGAGGCTTGAGCATTACAAAGATACCAACCCCCTCATGTGGCTTAAAATAATTGTTTTTGAAAAGCTTGAATTGGCATCGATACAGACTTTGGTTTCAAGAATAAGCATCACTTGCTCTTTTGGTTGAAGTTGTGCCTATAAATATGAAACTATGTGCAACTTGTGGAAGGTGAAAGCCTTGTGGATCATCCTCTCCTCTGAGTCTATGTTAATTGTTAGTGTCTGCGCATTTTCAGTCATACAAGTATCATTCAGAACATCTTTACGGAAAATCTGGTTCATTGGCATAAATGGAAAGATTTTCTTCTGAAACAAACTGAATTATATATAAGGCATCACATTTTTACGTGCATAAACTACAAAGAGCCGTTTTCTTTGGTTACTGAACTTAAAAGAGTTGTAGTGATTATTGCTTTTTGATGCAGACGAGCCTGATGCACAAGCTTAATCAAGTTTGGGTCAGAAGGGGAAGATTTCGGCTAACCATTTTTCCTGGTTCTGTAGATCCGGCATTGATTGTGGCTTTGGTTGTAATATTCTTTGATGGACGAATGTAACAGAACTAAGATATAATAATACAAAAGTTGTTTGCCAAAGATTTTGAGTGATGTTAAATCCTAATGGATTTCAAAATCATGTTTTTCAAACGCTGGAAGGCTCACAAAAATATTACAAAGGCTTTGGGACATAAATACCGATAATTGTTTCTATTCTATGTAAATATTAAAGAAGCCTCCATCTTTCTATAAGTAGCATTGTGCATTGTGTCATGGATCCCGACATAGTCCGTCGCCAAATGCCAATTTGCTAATTTAAAAACTAATCTATTCCCAAATATGAAGGACCAAATAATAATTTACCGTAAAAGCATATATATTTACTTCCTATTTAGTAATCCAATTATTTATTCTTTTATCTATCATCTCGACCCTAGTTGGTTAAAGCATCTTGAGCGGTCCACCTAAGTTTAGTTCAACTGGTTGAGACATATATAATCGATAAAAATGTTATGTGTTAAAATAAAGCATATTGAACTATTCAAGTAGATGACGTGAGACTTTTAAGGAAAATATTTGTCTCCTTGTTCGGACCAATCTTGTCATCACTGCTCTTAAATGTTTGAAAATTGAAAATTAGGAGAGAAGAAGGTAAAAATAGAGATTTTTCTTAAAAAAAAAAAATTGTGAAATTTTTAATAGTGCAAAATATTTTCCTATTTTAATTGGAATTTCATTGGGCGTTAGAGGGAAATATGACGAGTCAGGCATAGCTCTCAGCTGCATTTGCAGGTGACTCAGGGTTGAATTTGAAACCTATAAATTGGAATTTGGTTTCTCGTTTCTGAGCGCAGGAGCTACAAATTCCCGTATGTTCAGCTGATACACCGACGTTCCAACTTTCAAGGTTTTTGCGAGGAGGCGGCGTTGTCGTTTCGTCGCCGTCGCCCAAGGCGGAGCCGAAGCTGCTAACAATTTCAATCTGCTGACTTTGGGGGGAAGGCGGCGGCGCATCGTTAATCCATCACCAAACCTCTGGCTCTCATCACATTCCGAGAACTTCCGCCCAATTGGCGGAGTTCGATCATCATCAGGGTTTCCAGCTCTCTTCTTAAGTTTATCCTATCTCTCTGATTCTCAATCCGTCTGTGTTTTCAACTGCGCTATTGCCCATAACTAGGATGGGTAGGCCGAAGGGAGAGGGAGGTAGAAGCAAGGCTAGACCTTCAAGCAGCAGGTGGCTAACTTCTCTCTCTTATATGCGAAGATCACTGCTTTCAATTATCCCATTGACTGCAACCTTGATGAATTCTACTTCTATTTTGCTCCCAGTTTGGCAGCGTCACTTCTGCCATCGGATTCTGCCGCCAACGCTGCTGGATTCGGCGGCTTTATTGGTAGTTACCGGCTGGATTCCTCTCTCGCCGGGGATGATGCAGCACCTTTTTCGGTATGGCTGTTTGGATTGAGAGTTGATACATGATATTATTGTAATGAAAGCTGCTTGATTGATGACTTTGTTATTTTGACGAGACTGCTTTTGGTGATATTTGTGAGTACGCAGGATATTGATAGTGAAGTTGCACAGCACTTAAAGAGGCTTTCGAGGAAGGACCCTATTACGAAGGTAATTTGTATATGGTTATCTGTTGTCTTGCATCTACCGTTAAGCGAGGCTCTTCAGTAGGAAATAAGTAGCAAGAGTTTATACGCACGACAAATAAGAAGAGGCATGTTAGATGTATTACTCTTCAAGTGAAAATGCTTCATCTATTGTTGAGATGTGGTTGACATTTATCTTCCAATATACAACATCACTCCAGAGTCCCAAGTCTCCGAGTTCACTTAAATTCTACCTCCAAAACTACTAAACTGTCATGTGTTCAAAATATTCCTAGGATATTAGGGAATTGAGTGGGATTTCTGAAAACAGGCCCATTTTTACTTTCTTAGTGGAACTAGAAATTTTTTTCATGGCTTGGTGTACGTTTTTCCTTCGCAATATCGATTGCATATATAAATGCAGTATTAAACTCTTCTCGTTGTTAGAGGAAGTGGTTGCCTCTTGGAATGCTGTTCATTGATCACGGCCATTCTCCCCTTAATTCAGTGGGGTAGCATTTCTTAAATCTCAATTTATCTAACCAACGGCCCTACAATTTAAATTATTTGAAAATTGTAGTAATAATTGATTAATTGTAATGAGTACTTTTATCATGTAAAAGCTGTAGTGCAGGAATATTGTATATGTACAGTCATAATACTTGTGCTTTGAAAACTATTAGGTTAGTTTATTTTATGTGTAAGTTATCCAAGTGCGGGATTGGAAAATTTCTGGCACATATTGCAAAATTAAAAAAAGAAAAAGAAAAACCATTAGGTTAGTTTATTATTCTCAGAATAGTGTGATATTTATTTCCTTCTGGTTTATTGTATTTCAAAGATTTTATGTATTATTTACTTCTCAAACTTCATTGATTGGACCACTGCCCTTTTGTCTCTACACCGGAGTACAACTTTTGTAGCTATTCTAGCAAGTTTCTATCTCCTCCCCCTCTTTCTTACTTTTCTCCTTCGAAGATGATTGATAAGAACTAATTTGCTTTTAGATTTTCAACAGCTCAAAGCATTGGCATCTTTGTCAGAGCTTCTTAAGCAGAAGTCTGGGAAAGACGTTGCATCAATTATTCCACAATGGGTATCTCTCTTTCCCTCTTCACGTTCAACGAATCTTTGCTTTGCATAGATGACACAGTGTATTCTTTCATTTTCTTATTTTAATTCTCATTTGGTGTTAGTGTTGCTATACATTAGTAATTGTCCTTTAATGTGTTATTAGACTCTGTCATGAGAGTGATGGGGTATTTGAGAAGGATGATAGAAAAGGAACTGGAGGGTAGGGGAAATTGGGTTGTGAGCAGGAGTATGGAGCTACTTGAGATAATATTTTTTTTTTTGCTTTATTATCCAATCTGGAATTTTTCAGATTTCAAGCTAGAGAAGATGACAGCAGCTGGCAAATCACTCCATTGGGCATTGACCAATTCTTGGGACAATTATGTCATATATTTGGGAGAAGAATCACTTTTGGTTTGTTTGAAATGATTATGCATATCGTCTGATTTCTTGTGTTAGTATGCTTTTACCAACGTTGGAGGTCTGGGTAGGGTTCGAGACCTTGATTTTTCAGCCTTTTATTGTGCTAAGGAAGCTTTTTAATTGGAAATTTCTTCCAACAAGTGGGATCTTGCATACGGAGACTGGGCATTTTTTCCCCATTTTTGGCTTTTGTCAAAGGTTCTAGGTGTTATTTTGTTCTTAAATGTTTTATGTTTATCTCGTGTACTTGGAGATTTGTTTCTTTACTCGGTTGTTTGGTTTTTCTTTTTCACCCCTTTTTATGGGGTGATTTTTATCCTTGAACATTTTTATATATTTTCATCTATCAACAAACTATTTGTTTCTTGTTAAAAAAGAACAATTTCATTGAAGTTCCTTCTGATAATATAACTTCTTGTCTATAATTTTTTTTTTGTTGAACTATATCTTTAGGGTCAGGTCTGTATTGTCGGTTTCTTTTTTTTGGATGCTATTGTTTGTACTTTTATATCCCGAAATAGAAGTCTTCATTTTTGTTAGAAGAAAAAAAAGAGCTCCTAGATTGAACAAAAAAGTAGTCTTTCATTTTGTGGATAATAGTTCCTTAGTGTTTTCCCGTTTGCCCCGAGTTTGCAGAATTTGGATGATGAACCCCATCTAACAGCAGTGGTATCCAAAAATACAAGGTAGTGATATGAGGTTGTTCACAGAAGCTTAAAAGTTCTAGAGTTTTGGATATAATTAAGCCATTCTTATGAAACCAACAATCTGTTGCTCTACAAGGTGTATATTGGTTCGCTTGGATTCAACCATGTGAATTTACTTTTGGAAATCAAAATTTATAGTTTTTTTTTTTTTTTGGGAAACAAATTTCATTGATAGCATGAAATATCTAGATGAAGTTGCAAAAAGCTTCTCCAATTGGATATAAGTGAATTGAGACTGTAGCTATAAACCAATGTATTACGTCTTTTTAAACTTGTTATAGTTCTCCCAGTTCCAATAGGAGATCAGCCATGAGACCATCTAAGTCCCTCCAAACACCACTGACATTCAAATAAATCCACGGTGTTTTCAAGCTCTCTCTATACGTTCTAAATAACTGAAATTCAAAAAGTTCCTTGTACCTTCTGAACAAGCAGAAGCTCTTGCCCTCCACAACCTTTAAAGACCCTTTGCTCCACATCATTGAGAAATTATCCAAACGTTTATGTGGAGCCCACAAAACCTATACCTCTCAAGCCCCCTAATGGACTTAATTAAAACCTTTTGACAGTTTATTTTTCTCTCTTAAAGAAACACGATGCCTGAGACCTCCTTCAAGTCATATTCAACCCCTTGACAAGCCTCCTTTGTTCTTCTAGAATCCAATCTTCTCATGTTCCCAGACAAAATCATGAACCACAAGTACTCTCTTCGAGCCAAGCTGTGGATTCCATCCATTTGTTATTGTTGATAAAAGAGAACATGTGTTTGCCCGCAAAGACTATTAGGGATGAAATGCATGTCCTAGCATCTTCGCTTAGAGAGAAAGGGTAGGCGATGACTTACTAAACCCTAAAGAACACATCCAAGATTTTTGTGGCCAAAAGCTCCCTATTTCTTATTTGCCTTAGTAGTATTTAAACTATTGCTTCTTTCGAGTTTGGCAAGTGTGGCATCATTTTCTTCATGCAGCCACTTTATCCTATTTTCTTCATGCAGCCACTTATCCTATAGTCCCCTTTATCCCATGTGAGTTGGGACATGCTCTTTTTTGTTGGTCTTGCCACAATCATTTGCTGACAACCCCTTTGATAGCTGAAATTGTGCTTGCACTCTTTTAAAGGCGTTGAGAGGTCTTGGGGGAAATTTGTGAGTTGGTTAGATTTAATGCCCATTTGGTTTCGATTCTCAAGGTTTTTTGTAATTACCAATTAGGTGCCATTATTTTGGATTGCGGTCCGTTCTTAGAGGTGGATCTCCTGTTTTTTCAGGCTTATTATTGCATGCCCTTGTATATTCTTTCATTTTCTCGGAGCGAAAGCATGGTTTTTTTCACAAAAAAAGTACTATTGGTGGAGAACCTTCTCTAATGATAAGGGTATCTGTTAGTGGCTTAAACATCTTGAATAAATAACTCTTTATGCAAGATCCTTTTTCGCACGCATGTCTTCCTTTATTGAGCTATCCCAGGATCGACTAATTCTACTGGTAAAGCTTGAAAAAGAAACTTCCATCTTACCATGTTAATCTCTAGAACAATACAACGAATGTGATGGTATCTTTTGATGAAGGTCATTGTATTCGCCTCCTCATTAAATTTGACCATCTTCGTCTTTGTTGAGGAGGCTATCTTGGCTTAGAGGGGAAGGTCGCTAGAATGAAGAAGAGGCCGATCACAGAAATTCAGAATGAGAATTGTATCAGCTTGATGGGGGAAGGGGAAATAGTGGATCAGTTTGTCTCCTTTTACAAAAACCAATATTTGAAAAGGTCAGGAAAGTGCTTTTGCTCCTTGAACATAAACTGAAACCTTTATCACAAGGCATCAGCGAAAAGCTGGAGCTCCCCTTCAATAAGGAAGAAATTAAAGCAGCTATAGATGAGTGTGGGAATCATAAAGCTCCGGGCCATATGCCTTCACGGGAGAGTTTATGAAAAAGTCTTGGAACATCATCAAAGAAGACGTGCTTAAGGTGTTCCACGACTTTTTCGAAAGCGGAGTAGTCAATTATTGTGTAAATGAAACCTATATCTGCTTAATCCCCAAGAAAGAGAGGGCCACAAGGGTGGCGGATTACAGACCAATCAATCTAGTCACAAGCCTTTATAAAGTGATAGCCAAAGTCCTCGCTAGAAAATTGAGAGAGGTTCTGGAATGGACAGTGAGCAAGAACCAATATGCCTTGCTTCATACAAGGAAGACAAATTTTGGATCCAATTCTGGTGGCAAATGAGTTGGTTGATGAGTATAAGGCTAAGAAAGAAAAAGGATGGATCATCAAGCTAGACTTTGAAAAGGCCTATGATTTGGTGGATTGGGACTTCCTCCTTGAAGTGCTTCGTAAGAAAGGCTTCGGAGCTAGATGGATCTCGTGGACGAGGGGCTGTATCGCTAACACTTCCTTCTCCATCATTATAAACAGGAGGCCTCGTGGCTGAATTAAAGCCTTTGGGGCCTTTGTCAAGGTGATCCTTTAGCTTCTTTTCTCTTCGTCTTGGTTGCTGATGTGTTGAGTAGCTTGCTGGACAAAGGAGTGGCAGAGGGATGATTAAAAGGTTTTCAGGTGGGTTCAAATGAGGTTCGTGTAAATCACTTTCAGTTTGCAGACGATGCTCTTGTGTTCTCCAAATATGATAAGTCTTCGCTCGTAAACTTAACGCACAAGGTTTACTGTTTTGAAGAGATCTCAGGCTTTAAAGTTAACTTGGCTAAATCACAGGTGGTTGGTCTAAATGTTTCTGACCAGGAACTAATGACTACAACAACTCTCTGGGAATGTGCAACAGGATCTTGGCCCATGTCTTATCTGGGAATGCCTCTTGGAGGTCAAGCTAAAAATAAAGCCTTTTGGCAGCCAATGGAGGAAAAAGTTGAAAGAAGGCTGATGAAGTGGAGCTCTCTAAATATCTCTAGAGGAGGAAGGCTACCTTGGAAAAGTCTGAACTCTCGAGCATCCCCCTGTAGTACTTTTCTATGTTTAAATGCCCTAAGCAAGTAATTTCCAGATTGGAGAAGCTAATAAGGGATTTCTTTTGGAAAGGCGGCAAAGAGGGGGGAGGCCCACACCCCTTCGTTGGGAGGTGGTCATTAAACCTATAATTTTGGGAGGTGTGGGCTTAGGAACCTTGGCAAGCAAAAACTTTGCACTCCTAGCTAAATGGGGGTGGAGATTTGTGACTGAAATTGAAGCTTTGTGGAGAGATGTGATTGCTAGCAAATATAATTTCAGTGACACAGAATGGTGGCCAACCATTAAAGATTCCGTTCTGTTCAAAGGTCCATGGTAAGCATCGTCAAATGTTGTCAGGATGCAGAGAGATGGTATAAAACAAAGGTGGGTAAAGGAAACAAGACTATTTTTCTGGAAGGATGTCTGGCTGAGAGAAGAACTGCTCTACCAAATCTATCCGAGACTGTTTAGAGTTTCTTCAGCAAAGAATTTAATAGTTGAGCAGCGTTGGGAGGTAGAAAGCAGAGGGTGGAATTTGTCCTTTAGAAGAAACTTGGCAGACAGGGAAGTGGTTGAGTGGGCTGATTTGCTGATTTGCTTAACATCCTAGAAAGTGTTTCCATGTCAGCCATGAATGATAGGAGAGTTTGGTCCCTTGAAAGATCTGTGTGTTCTCGGTCAATCACTCACTTATTGTCTAAAAACAGAAGGGGATAAATTTGAGGGAGCTTTTGTGTGGCATCTAGAGGTTCCCAAAAAAGTTAAAGTCTTCCTTTGGTTGCTAATGCACGGTAGGCTGAAAACTCATTGCAGACTTCAAAAACAAATGCCCTTCCTTGGTCTCTCCCCAAGTTGGTGTGTTTTATGAAAAATCAGTGAGGAAAACATGTGGCATCTGTTCTTTAATTGTTTGTTTGCAGTGAAATGCTAGAATGAGCTATTACAGATTTTTAAGTTAAGCTGGTGTTTTCCAGAATCGGCTCTCCTTCAGCTCGTTCAAGGCCCCCATCTAAAAGAGCACGTGAAGATTCTGTGGATTCTTGGGGTGGTTGGTTTGGTTTGGAGGCTTTGTTTTGAAAAACAAGAGAACGTTTCGAGGAGAAGAGACAGATGGGAAGATGTTTTGGGAGTTAGTTAAAATTTTTGCTTCTTCTTGGGCTGTTAATACAAAGGCTTTTTGTAATTATTTGGTCTCTCAAATTGTTGCCAATTGGGAGTCTTTTTTGTAATCCCGTGGCCTGAGGGGATATCTCATCTCCCCGCTTTTGTATTGCCTCTTTTGATAATGAGACTGATGTTTCTTATCAACAAAAAAATAAAAAAAAAAGAAGGAGAAATTGAGGATGCTATCTGAATTGACTCTCCTACTGTTGTTGATGATATTTCTTGGCTTTGACTTGTGCTTGTATGGAGGTTTTACCCTGTACTAATGATGCACAATCCATCTTTCCAATTACCTCTGTGATACTATTTGTATTTGGGATAGAGTTGTTTGTTACATATGGGATTCAAGCTTTGTATCTGTCGAACTTGTGTTTGATTATTAAGGGTATGATTTTTAGGCATTTGAGAGGACAAAGTCTCTCCTTCACCGACTATTTTTTCTACTGTTGCTGCTCCTCCTGTCAACTCTCTATTATTCTCTTCCTAACTTCCTAGCTAACCTCCTATTGGGTATATGAATAGTTAGAGTTTAATTTTAGTAATGCTTATTCCTCAAAAATACACCAGCAGCCTAGATAAGCGTACCAAGTTTTCTTTAACCAAGGAGGACCGTTGAAATGTTTATATTATTTTTGAAAGATGACAGTTCCCTTCAATAAATAGTTTTCCTATTCTTGCCTTTTCTCAAAATTGTTCTCTTTTTGTTCATTTCCTTTCAGCCATTGCATATTATGTGGATAATATATATATTTTTTGATTCCTTATTGTTTAGATTTGTAATTATAACTTATTTATCTTTTCTCCTAAAGTGTATATGTACATTCTCCAAGGCGCATAGTTTATAGTTAATTGAACTCGGAAGAAAAGAAAAACCCTGGTTTCTTCAACTATTTAGCATTTATCCAGCAGTTAATTTATTGTCATATTATGACACTATTAATGCACGATGGTGCATTTCTGAAATTGCTTTTTTTGACAATGGTTTTCTCCATTTTTTTTATAGGTTTTTGAATACAAGAAACTATTGATGGATTATAATAGGGATGTCCGACGTGCTACACATGACACAATGACCAATCTTGTAATTGCTGCTGGGTACATAGTTCTTTGCTGTTCATAATTCTATAGCCCCTCCCCCTCCCCCTTCTGTACATGCTTTGGATGTTGATCTCAGTGCAACCTTTGTTTAGTTTGATGGATAATATCCTAGCTCATATGTAAAGTAATGATGAGCTTGAAAACATTGGTTCTTTTTATTTTTTTAGTTATTATTTTTATTTTAATGCATTTGGTGAATATAAAGATACTTGTGAAGATTCTAGATAAGCCTAGTACTCTATAAAAGTAGACATCTGGTATGGACCAATTTTCTCCTCATTCCTATAGATGCTGATAAAGAAGTCCCTTTACATTTTCACTAAACCCTCCTGTTTAATTGCTTTCAGACAAATTCTAGTTGGATTTGGATATTTACATGTTCAATGGGATATTGGCAGAACTCATTTATGTAATATGTTCAATGGTTAATTGCCAGATCTTTTTTCTTTTTTTTTTTTGGGAAACTGAACTTTTAATTGAAAAAAGAACAAATGTACAATGACAGAACAAAAAAACCAGCCCTGCATAGGATATCCTCCTAAAGAAAGGGTTCCAATCTAAAAGGATAACACCTAACCGATAGGAACTCACAAAGAAGTTTGTTAAATTATATTCTTATCTTTTAATTTCCTATTGTATTTAGTTTTTAATAGGTTAGGTTTCCTTGTTCTAATAGGTAAGAGTTTTCTTATCCTAATAGGCAAGGGCCTCTTTTCTTTTCTTCTTTGTATCTCCTATTTATAGTCTTGTATCAATTTTTTGGAAGTAAGAATTATTTTCTTTTCTTATTAATTAACATGGTATCAAAGCCTTAGGCTTTTTCGATTGGTCGTCATCGCTCATCATTTTTAATTTTTCTCGATTGACCTTCATTGTCAATCAATGTATTATTATTATTATTTTTGGCTTATTTTTTTGGTATTCGTTACCTAGCAGCACGTTCGTTCTTCTGTGTCTTCACGACGTGCGTATTAGTGGCACGTGGATTCTCATTTGGATCAATCAATTTTATTTTTTCTTCTCTGTTCGTTGGTTGTTCGCCGTTCGAAGGTTAGGGTGTCGACGATAAGTTTTTTTCTCCTTCTCCTCTTCTTGCTGCTAGAGTGTTCAAGCCACCGTCGTGCTGTCGTCAAAGTCATCCGATTCTCGTTCAGACGGCGTCGAGTTTGTGGGTTCCTCGAGTTCGTGAGTTCGTGGGTCCGTGTTCAGACGATACCATATAAGGACTCCGATGCACTTTTAGAAATTATCAGTCCTTCACCCCTTTAAGATCACCCCC